CTTATGCTTCCATCTCAAAGGTACCAAGAGTACCTGAAAGCAGTTGCTCATCTCTAACCCGAAAATTAAATAGCTGTAACAAAGTCTGGAGGTCCCTCCTGATTTCCCAAAAGCTTGTGTGTTTCATCAGTCCGCTGCAAAGAACAAGGAAGCAGAGCAGGGAGTTGAATATCTAATTAAACGAGCTCTGCAAAGACCTCTTGGGAGAGAAAAGCAAGGAAAGAGGTGCTCAGTGCCTTCACATGCCTGGGTTTTATCTTTGTTTGTAACCTCAAAAACGTGGAAGGACTTCTTGCTGTGTAGATCTGCAAATCTGATAATGTTTTATTTCATAACAAAAATGGAGGCATGGTAGAGATAAACCTGAGGAGTGACTTCATGCTAAGCACAGCGTGTTATTTTAAATGTCAACCTCTTGGGGAAGTTTCCCATGCCAACTATTTTCTTTGGAGGCTATGCTATGAAAGAGGGTGAACACACACCCAACTCATAACTCACTCAACCTTCTACCTGCATAAAACAGAGCAAAAAAGCTTATGAGAACACATTAGCAAGAAGAGACACAGCTGGAAAACAGCAAGAAGGACATTTTATTTAAAATTTAGTAAAAACCGAAAATGTCACAAGAGTTGCTGCACTTCTATGCAGCACACCACACCTAGGAGATTAAACAGCAATATTGTCATTTGTACCTATTTATTCAAGGCAGGGATCTGACCTTTCCAGGCTCATTTGTTTCAGCAAACTTTGCTCATGCTACTCATGACTGCTCATATTCATAAGGCTTGCAAGATTAGAACATTAAATAATTGCTGATAATATGAAGACAGTGTGACAGAAGGAACAATACTGTTTCTTATTATGTGATTATTTTTCTTTTTTCTTTAAAGCTCTGAGAAACCACTTCAATTACTTTGATAATTTTCCTGTCAAAGGTAAATTTTTTAATTGGCCACTGCTCTTCTACAGATATTTAGCTTTTTTGTGATCTCTGCAAATCTCAATGAATACATCAAACCAGGTACTGTAGTTCTACTAAATAATATTATTGTAATTGTTTTGTTCAGGGTTTGTCAATGTCTACCTAATCATTTTCTCGGTCTATAGAAACCTGAAGGTTGAGCAACAGATCCAGACTGCTTCAGGAGATGGGTGGCTTCAGTCTTGTCCCTTGACCCCAAAATGACACAGTGGCCTGACCTGTAAAATGAGGACAATTAAATCTATTCGTTTTTATAAACACTAGTGCAACACACAGTTGAATAGCACAGTGTAAATTTAAAATCTTGATTAAACTGAGGCAGAGTGCCAAGTAATCATAATGCACACACACTACTTGAAACCAACTCATTAATGGTTCTGCTGCTGGAACCAGTTTCCTAATGGCTCAGTAATGAGCTGACTACAATCACAAAACCATGCTTCTTGATAATTTTTTTTTAAATACGTAATTATAATGTGATAATGTCTTGAACTTGTGTGTGCACAGGTAACAAAAAACATACCTCCAAACACTTAACGGCTCAAGACTTAAAATCTGTTATTTTTTATTCACAATTTGTATTAGTATAACTCTGTTACAGAAAGGAAGGAGGATACTCTAGCTTTTTTGTTGGTAGCTGGCAGTGTTGGGGTACTTCAGCAGACTGTTGGATCTCTGTTACTGCCTGACCCCTCAGCCAAAAATAGTGTGCAACCAACTCACTTCTCCGAGTTTCTTCCCTTGCATGCTATGGTCACCCAGAACTAGCAGACAGTTTCCTTTCCTATGAGACAAGATGCATCTGCAGGTGAGGCATCACGCTTAACCAAGCACATCCCTTCATGTGCAATGAAGGCATTATATATGTTTGATGGGGTATGCTGCTCTTTCATCCCTGCCTGGTTTTGTCAGTAGTAAATCATCCAACTGCCTCACTACCAACAAATGTTGGATATTAACCTCCCTCCTTCCTTCCAGCATGCTAATAACCTAGGTTATCTACTCAGGGAATACATTTTTAAGCCCCATGGTAGATTTATATTTGGAATTTGCAAAAGTACAGTCCTTGTCTAATCCCTCTCCATTATACCACTGGCATGGATCTGCAATGGGGAGGTATCCATGGCATACAAGTTAGGAGATGGCATCCTGTAAGGTCTATCTCTGGCCTTGCTGCTCCACTTCAGAATCTTTAGAAACTGATCAAATATAACAGCACATCTCATAAGCTTTCCTGTTGCCTTCCCCGTTCAAGCCTGCTGCTGAGCAAACAGTTCAGCTCGAGTTTGTTGTCAGCCACATGCCTATGGACTTCACCAGACACAGACCCCACAGCTCTGTCTTTTCACATCAGCTACCTATAACAGGAAAATGGAACTGCAAGGCTGAGGAATTCAGGAGACACTCATCACATTTTAAATTAAGTTCTGTATTGAGACAGAGGGACTTCTTTTAAGGCTCTTTCCTACGTCTACATCCAATCCCACACAGTAAAACTCCAACTCTGGCTGTAGTTCCCCACAGCTACTGCAGCAGAAGCAATCACAATCCTTACAAAAGAATACAAAATGTATGTATTTTGACCTTCCTTCAATTATTTTCTGCATCTATAATCATAGTGCATTCACAGACAAAATGTAAAAACATATAATCTAAATGAAGGAACCACTCCTCCACAGGGGAAGACACAGAATGTTATAATTTTTCCATTTTAAAATTGTTAAGAAGGTAATTACATGCTATTTCCAGTGAAAGCATGTTATTTATATCTCAGAAAGATTCAATAATACTTAAGAAGTCTTTTCTGAATATACCAACAGTAGAACATTTTTGAGCTTGTTTATAAATTACATATTAAATGAGACCAAAAATAGTCACGATGACAACACCTCTGCAACCAAAACCTTCCTCTCAGCTTCAATGTTGGTTTAGCAAAGTAACAGGCACGCTGCTCATTTGTTTTCTGTTGTCTGCAGAGATGTCAGCCTGAAGTTAATTCAGTTATTACACCTGTCAGTGAGGCTCTTCTCCCTGTAGCTGTGGCTTTACAAGGAAGGTGGCTCTTTCTGTTGACTCAGCAAAACATTTGATTGACCCAAGTCCTGTGCTATCCTGATTCTTCCAGTGTTTGAAAAGAAGAGATGTTAATCCCTGTGATGCCTTTCATTTTCAGTCAGGAGGCAAAACAATTCTTCGATGCCTGGTGCTGTAAAGTTTATGGGTGATTACCACTGTTGCAAAAAAAAAAAAAATACTCAAGCAGCAACTCTTTCTGCTGCCATGAGAAGTTTCAGGCCTTGCAGAGCATCACATGTACAGAGAGCACCGTGTACAGCTGGGCCTTAGGGCAAGGGATGAATAGCAACTATAAGAAAATATCCTTATCTCAAAGACCAAAAAGATGTCAACAGTTGCAGGTGTCATCTGTTAGAACCAGGAAGGTAAACACTAAATAGTAAACACTCTCTCCAAACACTGAGCTCAGAGAGTCGCAGCCTCCCAGAAGGAAATCAAGATCCCAGAGTAGAACTCCTGCGTGTCTGTGTAGTATTATTTCCAAAGACCAAGACTGATCCATGCACTCTGTCTCCCATATCCTGACAGAACCCATGGTGTGCTCCCTACCAGACACCACCCTCAGCTTTTCACTTGGTTTCTCCCACACTGATGCTTTCACCCATTCAGATCCAAAACAGAGAATATGGATGTTATTCATTAAGCAGGTCAGGAATGCCAAATCCCTGTGATGAGCAAACCCCTCTGAGCCCATGCAGCATTGCTCTGATAGATCACATTGATGCAGAAATGAAGGAGGAAGCAGAGGTGGTATTTAGTCTATGTAACTTTTCTAAACTCGCATTCAATAAGGTATTTAGTATTCCTGTGCTGCTGAAAACAATTCTGTTTCTAAACTCAAAATACCTGTGACTTTCCTCTCTCCCTTGGCCATCTGGCATTTCCTTGTCTAACAAACTTGAAAGTCACTGTTCATCCCCAGGGATCCTTAGAGATGTACATGGAGAGCTCCCAAAGAAGGGGGTGAGCATCAGAAAACCCATCTTTTCTCAGCTATCCTCATTGCTGCAGTTACCTATAAAGCCATGCCCTTAAACCATGATTACCACAAATTTATTCTCTACGGGTGCCATGTGAGGCTCAGCTCGCTCCAACAGTAGCTGGGATGAAGGGTACAATGTAAATATTGCTTAATATAAACCTGAATCCTTAGGATTAGTGTCGTGGCTCCACAAGATGCCGCTGGCACTGGACTGGGTGCAGCTCCGTGTCGGACTGTGCTGCAGTGAGCTTCTGCAGCCTCCCCGTAGTGCCAACAGCACGGGCAGGGTGCCCCAAGGGGTCATCTCTTCACCGGGACCGCTCGGCCGAGACGCTCCCCAGCCCACTGAGCCCCACTAGCCAATCTCCCGCACCCCGAAGCATCTCGTTCAGCTACAGCAACGCCGGCACCCCTTCCCTCCTCCCCTCAGCCCTGCCCCAGCATCTTCCTCCACCTCGGTGCGCGGCCCCGGGGCAAGAAGGTGCCCCCGCCCCCGCGGCGTCCACGGGTGTCGGGCCGGGCCTGGCAGGCCCTCGGGGGGCGCGGCCCCTCTGAGGGAGGGCACGGGCCGCGGCGCAGGAGGAGGCGGGGGCGGGAGCGGCGGCGCCCCCCGGCCGCCGAGGGGCTGCGCCGGGCGCTGGGGCGGGGTCTGCGGGCGCCGGCAGGGCGGGCGGCGGCGGGCGCCACGTCGGCAGCGGGGACGGGCGGAGGAGTAAAGTCTGAGCGGAGCCCGGGCGGGCCGAGGAGCGGTGAGCGCTGTACGGTGAGCGAGCGAGGGAGGGGTGGATGGATGGATGAGTGGCCGCTACCCCCCGGCCCTGCCGCCAGCCGGCCGGCCGCCGAGCGCCCTCCCTGCCTCCCCGCGGATGAAGGGGAACTTCCAGGGGAGGAGGCGGGAGAGCACCCGGCGCGCCCCGGCGGAGTCGCTGGCGGGAGAGGCGAGTCAGGGATGGGGAGCCGCCGCCGCCACCTGCCCCCGGCGCGGGCACAGCCCGGCCGCCTTTGTGCTTCCTGCCGCGGCTCCGCGGGGCGGGAGGGCTGGGCCGAGCCGGGCGTAGCGGCTCCGCCGCGGCCTTGGCTGCCACGTCAGTGCCGCCGCCCTGCGTCGAGGTGCCGGCGGTGCCCGCGCCGGCCCGGCCGGGGTCATGGGCGGGGGTCGCTGCCGGGCCGCCTCCGCAGCTCCGCCGGGCACGCAGGTAGCTGCGAGAGCAGGACGCGGCGAGGACTGCGGGGCTTCGGCCGCCCGAGGGGAAGGGGCGGGGGGGGAGGCTCCTCGGGTGCGGGACCGAGGGCAGGGGGCTGCTCTCCCCTGCCGCTACCGCCCTCTCTGGGCCGGGCGCCCGTGGCGGAGCGGTGTCCTCACCTGGGAGGGAGGTCAGCGGAGGGAGCCGTGCTCCCCTCGGCTTGGCTCCTGGATGGTCTTGTTCTCCCTCGAGAGTTTTTCCGACCTAGTAGAAGCTTTCGGGTTTTCTTCTTTTTGAACTTTGCAGTGTTCGGATGTTTGCTGTAGTAACGTGCTCTTTGTTTCATCCATGTCTCTCGAGTCCAGCTTGATGGAGTAGCGTATGAAGAGGTTTTTTGTGAACTGTTTGGGACTGGCTTAGCTTTTCACATTCACCTAGCCTAGGCGTTTATTTGGTGTGGCCTGGAGATCAAGGCAAGTTGATTTAGCTGTATGCCTGGTTCTGGTCATTGTATGAACTGTAGAGACAGCCTCTGTGGATGCAATTCTATGCTTCCTTCTGCTCATTGAATTGGTGTGAAAATGAGAACTCTGAATCAGGATGTCCCTCCATAAGGAATGTAAATATCAAGTGCATGTAGCTTGTTTTAGTGTGTCCACTGTGTTGCTTCGGGCAGAATGCCTCTGTATAACTGGAGGGATACATACAAGATTGCTTAATTTAATATATAGGTACTGGTTTGTATGCACAACAGACTGCTCAGTAAATATTATCCAGCATATCATGTAAAGCTTTCTGTTAAACTGTGGTTAAATATTCAGAAAAGTTAGTATTGCCTCCTCAGTGTAGAAATGGACAGCACTGCAAACTGAAAAGTGGTCTGTGACCAGGTCTAAATGTCAGGTAGGAGCCAACAAACAGGTGGTGGATGCTAGGGAAAAGACTATTTCATTAGCAGAGGTAGCAAGGAAGTTCAGAAGCTGCTTTACTGCTGGCTGTTAGGCACAGTCAGGTTTTGTCTTTGAGGGTCTTCTGGAAAAGTTGATCCAAGACTGATCTGGAGCTCAGGCTTTAGAAAAGTGTTAAAAGAAATGGGGAAGGCTCTTCTGAAAACTGAGCTAGGAGGAGGCAGAGGATGATAAAACTGGTAGGATGGAGTTTTCCTGGTCTTTTTGAAGCTGTGCTGCGCACCTTACGGGAATTTACCATGTACTTCTTAGGAACCAGTTTTAGAGAACTAGAAAAGGAGAATTCTGGTTCATGCCACCTTTGATTTTATATATTGTAAATCATTGCATCAGAGAAAACACATCAGGTGTTCCATAGATCCTCTTCTGGACCCTGAGCTGTATTTTGGTTGACAGTGATGGAGAAATGGTGCATTCTCCATCCAGGGTAGACATGATATGGTAATGTCCTGGGCAGAGTTAGGGGTTTTTTGTTTTTTTTTTCAGGAGATATTATACCTCTCTTTTGTTTTTAATCGTGGTGTGTGTTTGGTTTTTAATACAGCTATGTTGCATTACCTTCCCAGCTGTGTTCAGTTCCCTACATACTGTGAGCCTGTTATGTACATTACTTTCAGCAACTTCTTTTGGAGGAAGTTGTAGCCCATCCTGCTGTAGGCTTGGAAGTAAGTTGTGGTTCACACCTGGAAACTTCTGATCAACTTCTTGTGGTCTTTACGTGAAAATGCAGTCTCTTTTTCACAGCACTCTTGCTTCCAAGCCAGTCTTGCTTTGTATATAAATCTGAATTTTGAAACTTGAGTTTTAAACTGACGGCTTCTTGAAATACTAGCTGTGCTCTTGGTTTTTACCTACATGCTTTCTACATGCCCGGATTTGTTTTTGTACTTCAGTGCTGCTGGCACTGACTCTTCTTGCAGAAGCGCAGTCAACTCTCTCCCTTGCAGTAACAGACTGAAACAGACATTTCTGTGTTGGCCGTGCTCTGGGGGTTATGTGTGAGAGAACTAAGAGCACTGTGCACAATTGCCTGTGACACATTACAAGTCCTAATCCAAGGAGTAAGGCAGTGAAGCTGATTGTGAGGGGTTGCTTGTGCAGCTTGGAGCAGTACCCTGAAGAGCAGCCATAGGTGGGATTATCTTTTTTGGCTTCATGATTACTTCCTTGTTTAATTTGGATAGTAGAGACTGTTGCTCTTGCAAAAATTTAATTCTTAAACTATCATACCTAAAAATATATTTTTTCCCCTGTATGTGAAATACATCAGGTTCATTCAGAAATCTGCTGCAGCTGCTGAAAGACGTAAAAGAAGAGCTGTTCATGTGGCAAGGGTTGTTTGTTTTCTGTCAGCTCTGTAGCCAGGCTTTCTACCTGCATAGCTGGTAGCCAGAAGGATGATAACTTCTTTTGTGATGGGTTTGTTTGCAGCTCTGTCAGATAGAAGTTCCAGCACTGGCTGCTGCTGCTGCAGCTGTCTGGAGCAGCATTAAGCTGCCAGCTGAAATTGGCCCCATCCTTGGGTTGTTTCATTGCTACCCACAAATATCTGAGTAGTGGCATTGAAACAAGCCAGTTTTCACTGGCTGCTGCTTGGGCCAGGTTTGCTGTGCTGAGACAGAAGGGCTTTTTGTCTCTAAAGTCAGAAAGACACCAAGAGCATCCTCTGAAACTTGGGATATTACACACATCCGTAATGGTTAGAGCCCACTTCTCAATGGAAGGCTAAAATTTTACACAAATTACTATCCAAGAACTGCAGGCTCATTAAGGAGCATTTGTGTCTTAACATGAATTATTGTGCCTCGTAGCAATCCTCATGGCAGCACATGGAGCAAGTAAAATTATCTTCTTTGCCCAGGAGGAATTGGTGTCTTGGTGACAGATCTCTAAAAATATGGCAGCTTAAGGCTGTATCAAGTGTGCTTCTTCCATACTGTGGGGATTTGTATTCCTGATTCCCACTGTACACCCATGGCAGGTATGTGACAGTCACTGTTCCATAAGATCTCATTAATGTTCTGCCTTTCTTATAGGTGTATGCAGAATACTTTCGTGGAAACAACTAACTAGAAATCTTCACAAAGGAATATATTTGGTGAGTAAGTTTTATTTCAATCAGCCTTGATGTGAATGTGCATGTGGCTATGCCATTACTTCTAGAGCTTCTTGGCACTTTCATTTAGGATCTTCAGCGCTGTTAATCTTACAAATAGGTCTTGAATTAAAAACCCTCTTCTAAACAATTTCCTTTTTTTTTTTTTGTTACAGTGTAAAACATTTAAGCTTTCTATGTATTTCATATTCTGACAATATGGAAGTGTGTTTCCTTTCAAATCAGTTGAGTGACTTCCATCTTTATTTTTTAAATTTTTTTTTATATGAAAGCTACAATTTATTTTAATTAAGAAAGATGAGAAGTTATCCCATATCTTTTGAATGAATAGACAATAGACAACATCTTCATAAGCACACAGGGGAAAAAAAACCCAGAAGTAGTTTACATTTATCCCTGTTCTAAGATCTGGGTTTGCTTCCACTTCTTGATATGAGAAAACACAGGTGAAGAAGGGAACTGGAGTGTGATACGATAGATTCCTGCTTCATCAATGTCCCTATGAGTTTTTCTGGGCCTCATAGAGATCCTGCCTCATTCCATATCATCATTCAATGAACATGTTAAATGAAGCTGGAGGCTTTTCTGCAGTGACACAAGTGAATTTGGCATCACAGGATGAAAATGCAGAAGATCTCTTTGCTTGCTTTCTTCTTCTCTTTTTCTTTGGCCAGTCTTAGTGTACTTTGAAGAAGATTCTGAAAACTTATGAGAAGAGTTCCAAAGGTCGGGTTTCTGATAAATCTTTGCCTTGTTGCATACGTCTGCAGTGCTGGTAATCGCTGTAACTAATGATTCAGTGCATAGTGGGGACTTTGAATCGGCAGCTTCCAAGTTTCCAAGGTTCCTTAACCTGTAGCATGTCTGAATGACTTAACTCTGCACAAAAGCCTTACACTTGCATCTCTAGGTCACTGCCTTCAGTTTCAGCTGAATCTCTGTTGGATCTCATGAACTTTGCTTTGTCTTCTTCCTGGGGACGCATCTTTGGGGGAAAGCTTGAACAGGACCCTCCCTTAGGATACACTGCAGTCTGGTGACTGGGGGACTTTGATGCAAAGCAGGCCATACAAGCCTAGATCTTAATAGATAAAGGAGGCATTGAGTGCTTTTACCTCCATGGTATTATGTAAAATGTAGTGAGTGGTTTCTGTTTTTCTATCTCCAGTTTTTGAAGAAAAAAGTTATGTTCTTGTCCTTTTGCTCTGAAGACTGGATGAAGTAATCTGCCACCAAGCGGTTATTCCAGGCCTCTGACCTCCAGTCAATAGAAATACTCACCTTAACTCTCTGGAAGGGAGCCAGGTTTAAAACATGCTCCTGTGCATATCCTGTTCACCAGATATGCTGCACCCTGTTTAGTAGACAGCATTTTTGCATCACTTTTCAGAATCTTTCAAGTCTCCTGAGGTATTAAATTGGATACAAGGATGCATAATGCAAACTGTAAAGTAGATATTTGAAAATTTTCCGTAGAAGTCCTCTGTTGGATCTTGGTTTTGATTCTGGGATTCCCTGGAGAGCTTCTACAGAAAAACAAAAGGATATGAATTGTGCTTTGTGAGATCTTGTGTGCCAAGTTGTGTTTTGGATCGGGCTCTGAGACTTTCCTGACAGTGATGTGATTCTGTTTTCACTTGCCCTGATATCATAGAACTGTGAGTAAAACTTAGTACAGGCTGGTTGGGCACATCTCTTGCAGCATCATAGAATCACCAAAGTTGTAAGTGATTTTCAAGATCATCCTGTTCAACCATACACCTAGTATCCCTGGAGTGCTTCCGGGCACCTGTAGAACCACCCATCGTACAGTAGTAGTCAACTTTCTGCTCTGCAAACCCCTGAAGGCTCTCTTCTGTGTAGAACAAATTCAGTCCTACTAACAGTGACTTACTTGCCTTGGCTGCTGTTCTCAGGTGTGCGTAGTTCTCCGTTGACTTCTGGGGCCTGATAGCAGCAGGTTGCCAGTGCCTGAAGAAAGACCACTGGGGTCTGTCTAGATGCAAGTGAGTGATGCATTTCTATTTAACTTTTAAGGAAAGGCTTGGGATCAACAATCATGTGACCTCAAGGTTCTAGGAGAGATAATGGGCAGGAATGCCTAATCTGAACTGCTTTTTGTATATAGTGCTGTGATTTTATATGTGCTGCTATTTTTTTCTACTGTACTTTATTAAACTAGACTAGAAACTCTGCTGTGAAATTCCCCTGCCAATACACTGCTTTGCTCATTTAGTTTTGCAGGAACTGAAACTAAATCTGACAGTCTAAACCAGACTGTGGAGAGTTTTGAAATCATCCCTTACCTGTTTAGTCTGCCAATCTTACTCTAACTCTTCCTACTGGACAAATCTTATCTTAATTAACTACTGGTATTATGTCATGTAAAACAGATTCTAGGGGCTTCATCTGGGCTGTATCTGCTGTTAGTGTTGCTATGCTCAGTACATTCTTAATAGCAGAAAATACTAAACCTTGTGTGAAGTCTTGTGATGGCTTCTAGTGTTCTACCTATGTCTGAAACTGGTAACTTACTCCAAACTTTTTGATAATTCCTGACAGTTTTCTCTGTCCTCTTAAGATTAAATAACTTTTCTGAATCTCTTATGTGGGATTGTTAACAGAAACATTTTGGAAGCTCAAACAAGCAATTTCATCTGGTGTTCTTTTAGGAGTTACATGCTGTCTAGATACAAATAAATTTATGGAGGTAGTTCTTTATAAAAAATAATTTACCTCTGGTTTTACTCATTTGTCTTGAGTCTGCTTTAAAACTGTTTTGATCACTTTTTCATTCCTTTGTTTGAATTAAGACTTGCTAGGTTCTGACTTTTATTTTACTCTTTTTAGGACTTTCCCTAAGGCAGTGGTTAAACTCCTTCTACATTCCTGATAATCATCTTCATGACCAAAATGGCCAGACATTAATTAGGAACACAGTTGCTTCATCTTGATACAGATATTTTGATTGAATAATATCAGGCCTGTCAGTTTCTTCTGTCTACCCTTTCTTACAGTGCTTTATATTATTTCAAGTTGGAAAAAAGCAACAAATCTACATGGAACTTTACATAGTGAGGATGAATATTGTATTTCTTTCAGCTTGCATTAGATGAATACGAAGAAGTCACGTAGTATCTGAATCAGGTCTTTTCTCAGAACCTGATTGTCCTCAGTTGCTCCCTGTGATTGGTCAGGTTATTTTTTTTTTTTTAATTTTTTTCCTCTTATTTGTGATTAAATAAAATAACAAGGAGTTCTATAATTGATACTTTTTTAAATTGTCTTATAGCCCTCATGTGTTTTAGTCTTCCATCTTGATGTGTTGTTACTCTACAACTTCCTCATGAGTGGAAGTAGGGGGGCAGACACTGATCTCTTTCCTCTGGTGATCAGTGACAGGACCCAAGGGAATGGCATAAAGCCGTTTAAGGGAAGTTTAGGGTGCATATTAGGAAAAGACTCCCTCAGAGTATGGTTGGGTACTGGAACAGCTCTCCAGGGAAGAGGTCACAGCACCAGCCTGACAAAGCTTAAGAAGTGTTTGGACAATGCTCTCAGGTACATGGTGTGATTCTTGATGCTGTCCTGTGCAGCCTTCAGTGTTCCCTGTGCTTTCCTCTCAGCTTGGGAAATCACATGATCCTTTCCTTTTTCTTAGCTGACATGTTTGCATTTCTGGTTTTTGAATGGCACTTGTTCAGTATTTCCATCAAACTGGCCATCCTGGTAGTAGGTATTTTTGCTTGCTTTCTTGTTAGCTTCTTGTGTTTTCTGAGCCCTGAACTGATACCTTTAGTGCTGATTGGGAGGACTCTTTAACATTCAGTTTAGGCTTGCTTCTCATCCAAATGTCTATGATTTAGTATGTGGGTGCCAGTTTTTAGTGTGTTGTTTTAACTTCATAATAATGCTGTGAGGGTTTTAGCTCTTGTTTTCCAGATGAGTCTTCCCACCTGCTTCTGCCTCCACATTCCTTCTTCAGATCCCAGCCACTGCTTTCTCACCCAGAGCATGTACAAAGAGATCTGGGCACGGCAAGAGAAGCAGGAATTATTTTTGTGGTGCTTGTTGTCTCCTGGAAGAAATTAAATGATTTAAAGACTTGTGCAGAGGGAAGGGAACTAAGAGGTCACTGGCAAAAAAAGAGAAGCCTGCTGACTGGTGTAATGCGACTTGTTTTTCCTTTTTCTGACCTTGGTGCTTGCTGAGGAGGGAAAGCAAGATTAGCGGGAGGACTCAGGGGAGGAGGCAGGACTTAATATCGAGGCATGCTTTGGTGGGGGAGGAAAGCAGGAAGGAAACCTGGACTGGTTGTTACTTTCTTCCCTTTCAGAGAAAAAAATCTATAAGCAGAGCTGCTGATTGAGCTTTCTTTTATGCTTCCCCTGTCAGGGACTGCTTGTCTGGAACTGCTCTAGGAAACAGCTTATGTTAAGAAATCTTCCCTGAAATGTTTCCATTGGAGAGTTTGTATAGAGTTAAAACAGTTCAGGTCTGCTCCTATCACCACACAATTTATGCAGTTCTGTGTCAAGATAAATCGTGTGTTTCTGTCTGCTGTTCATACATCTTGTTTTTGTGGCATTTGTTCAAATTATGCTGCAAGGATTTAGTGTTTTTAAACAGCTTTCCAAGCACTAGCAGATCTCACAGGCATGCTACTGTTGTTTCTCTAGTGGCCATCACCTCTATCATCACTAGGCTTTTTTTTTTTCAGTACTTAAACATAAACTCTTGTATGGCAGTAGCTGTTTGTTTTCCTACTTGTTGTCTTCCTGATTGCTTTTTGAGATGCACTTGGTGTGGTGTGGCAGCTCTCACCAAGCCTGCTGGTGTGGTGGAGAGCTCCTTTTTTAAGTATTGAGTCTGGCTGAAGAATGCAAAAGCACAGTCTGATAATAAAAATATGAGCAATTTGACAGGACCTGCTAGCTTGTCTAATAATGAAAAAGAAGTTCTCTTTGTGGAACTTAATCTACTTGAGTTTTGGATTAATGAATTACATTTATACTTTGCCAGAAAAGATGAATAGCACCTATGAATTTCTTTTTTTAGGCAATAATGAATCAAACGGACAAAAATCAGCAGGAAGTCCCATCATACGTTCGTGATGAACCACCAGAAGGTATGTATTAGCTTTCCTGATAGGAAGTAAATGAATCAGTTCTCTCTAAAAATGGATCTGCAAACTGAACACTTCAACTTTCTTTTACATAACAGTAAACAAACCAACCCTGGGATGAGATGGGCCTGGATTATTGTTCACTTCTGCATTATCCTGATTACAAAAAGGCCATTAACTGAGTAAACAACTGTACCTATAAATTATAGAGAAGATGGGCAGTTACTGAAGGACTTAATTTGCAGATTAGTTTGCAGAGGTATGAATTGATCTAATGGGCATTTATTTCTGCTATTTACTATGTGAGATGTAAAGAGCCCGACTTCATTTTTGGACACGTTGCTGTGTTCACAGTGCATGTGACTTTTATGCAAGATGCATTAAAAATATATATAGAACTTCATTACTGCTTCTGGAGACTGTTTTCCATCATACAATTAACAGTGGTTCCAACTGTTCACAATCTCATGGTTTCATAAAATCAAGCACACACTTGACGTCGTTTATGCAGTGTCATTATGATCTCCTCAACCAACTGAATATTAAATTGGTTATTAGATCTGCAGAGGAAATGCAGTTGCAAATGAGCAGAATTTCTTCTGAGATGTGGACTGGCAGGATTGAGCAGAGTCCTGTTTGCATAATGTGACTGGAAATATACTAAATCAAAAGCCATTCTTGGCATGTAAAAAACCACATTCTTATGTGTGTTCTGTCTGCTCTCGCTTTAAAACCAAACGTGTTGGATGTAGAGGTCGGTGAGTCATGATTCCTTGCAGTTCATTGCTCTTCAGTTTATAATGGCCCTTTAAAGTTCTTTGTTGGTCTGGGTTTTTTTTTACCTCAGCTTTTTTATGTTGTATAACTGAACAATTTCCTTCATTTGAACAACAGTATTATCCACTAACTGTAGCAGAAAGGATTGAAGTCGAGTAGCTCACCCTATTCTTAACAACTGTTAGGCAAGAAACACAAGTAGAAGAAGATGAGAGGAAAGGGAAAAATAGGTTTTCATGGCACAGTAATTCTTCAGCTCTGTTATACTTGTTACAGTAGCATAGTGTGAGGACAAAAAAGTCTTGTGCTTTTGTTATTAAGATCCCAGAAGCATTTCTGATAGCAAATGCCTGATTGGAAACTACACTTAAATGTGTTATCTTAAAGTCTGATTTTTAAGGCTGGGCTTTGCTTGCTTAGTTGTTACGGGCTTATTTGCCTTAGAGGTTTAATTGTGTTTGATACATGTTAAACATCATGTAAACATCATTGTATTTTCAGACAGTGAACAGTAGTCTGAAACTAGAACCAATTCTTTATTGAGTAGGGCAGTGAAACAAGTGGGCATTTTTTATCTTCCTAGAATATTCACTAGGTTTTCCAGATTCAGAGCACAACAGCAGAATTTGATCATCACTGGTTATTCCAAAGTTTTATTTAAAATCTGTGAGCAGCTAAGACTTATTTTCTTCTGCACATTGTTTTCTTTCAGTATGACAATAACTAGTTTGAATATGAAGTCTAAAGAGATGGAGAAAATGGGTGTAGTTAGAGGGAGTAGAGTGAAGCACAGCTCATCTTAATGTAAACTCCATCCTTGAAGAGGCTTTTTCCTTTTGGTTCTGATTCATGTACACTCTTCAAGCCTTACGAGTTTAGTTAAAAAAATGGAATACCCTTGGAAAACAACCCCATTTTGAATGTTGTACAAGGCCTTATACGTGATACACTAACACCATCATAGAAAGATAGCCAAATGTGGATGGAAGGAAGTTCAATGCTGGCAAAATCATCTCTCTGAACAGGCTGCCAAAATACTCCTTAGAGGAAAGTCTCAATTCCAAAACCAATTTGCAATTTTTCCTAAAGACAGAAATAGTTCTGATTTGTTCAAATCATGCTCAACAAGCTTGGTGCCCAAAGGCTTTCAAGAATGTCTAGAAGAAGCTTTTGTGCTCCTGCTTTTTATGAGTAGTGCTATTCTAATGCTGTATTTTCTGCCTTGCGAGCGGCGCCAACCTTTGCAACCTACGTTCATTCAAACTCTTGTTCATTCTTGGATTCCTTTCAGTGGGAAGCTGGCTGCGAAATGGCCTGGTAGAGCCAACTCCTGGATGGGGAACTTGTGTCATTTTCTCAGTGCTCCATAAACCACAGAATATTCTGAGTTGGAAAGCACCCACAAGGATCATCGAGCCCAACTTTTAATGGAGGGCCCATGGTGGGGTCAGCCCACAACGTTTGTGTTTTCAGCACCATGTCTGTGTGACTGAGCCAGTCTCCTTAGATTTAGGCATGATCTGGTATTCTTTGAAAACACACTTCAGAAAAAAGGAGACCAGGCACGTGTGTCCTAGAGCAGAAATCACTGGGAATTAAACTGCAGTGCTGGGTGTTTGCTAGAGCCCATGGACAGTGCAAATAGGATGGAAATGGAATGTGCCAGCCATTACCAGAAATTACTTGCACACCATCACATTCTGTATTTACACATGTAGAGTAGATGTCAATGGACTGGCTACCTCTGAAGTAAGGTAAAGATAAATACACAGAGATTATGTTTGTTTGTTTCTCTTATTATTTTTAATGTTAGTTATGATGCATCATTTCTTGCTTACATCAGTTCTGACTCAGTGAAATCAGCTCTTAAAATTCAGTGGGATGAAACTTTATGTCTATTTCACTCTGATGATAGTGAACCAGTTAAGTGGAAGTGAAACAGTTTCTGACCAAATTTGTTACAAATTCTGTTAGTCTGGTCACAAGAATCCTCTAGTGAATAAGCCCTAGACATTGGATTTTATGGTAGACTCCACATACTTCCTTCTGAGTGTGATGCTTTAAAGACTTTCTGTATGTACATAGAAATTCTGATCTCTGTGTGTTTGTGTTGGCAATGCATTTTTGCTGGAGATGTCCATATTGAAAGCTGCTGGCCTAGAATGAACCAGCAGGAGTATTATGGCTTTAAGTAAAAGCCTGTCATTTATGTTTTCAGTTTCCATTACCCTTTCTATAATCTATATCAATTTGTTAATTAGGATACTAGTGTGAGCTGGAAGGACTTCCAATATCTTCAACTCCTTTGGGCTTCACTGTTCTGTATCCTTGTTTTCCTTTTTTGTCAACTTTGTAGAAAATTCTCTCATTTAGGTGGCATCTTTTGCTTGAGTTATTTCAGGTATGCACATTGGAACTCTGACAGTTACAGTTTTTTAATGGCCAGTCCTGGCATTATCACAAACGTACTGGCAGTGCATGGAAAGTTGCTCACCCGAGTTTTCATCTTGTAGCAGATGAGTGCTGGGACATGACTCTTGGAATCTGTGCTCTGGATGCAAGCTGTGGGCATTGAGGGCTCTGGGGACAGAGCTGTTCTGCTGGTTCTCCTAAGGCGTGTTGCAGTGGAAAGTCAGTGTGTTGGCAGGGCTGGACAGAGGTCTCCCATGCATCCAGAGCTGTTTTTTTCTTTCCTGCTGCCTCCTACAGTAGTTGTCCTCCTCCAAGCATGTTATTTCTGCTCCTGACTCCCTCACCTCTTTATTTCATGTCTGTTTATTCCCTAGCTCTGCCCACTGTGGTTCCACTTGCTCTTTTCTTGGTTTCCCTGTTGTTTGTTATTTGGAACTAGGTGTATGAGCATCCAAGAAAAGCAGCCTGGAAGGTAAGTATAGACGGTGTGCAATGGCTGTTAGGCTAGAAAAGGAAATAAATACTTTCAACACTTTTTTGAAAATGCATAAATCCTGGTGGTGAGATTGATTTGCTTGCTGTTTCTTCCCTTAGGATCACTCAAAGACCACCCGCAACAGCAGGCTGGCATGCTTTCTCGTGTGACTGGTGGCCTCTTCAGTGTCACAAAGGGAGCTGTTGGTGCCACGATTGGAGGTGTTGCTTGGATTGGAGGGAAGAGCTTGGAAATTACCAAAACAGCGGTCACATCTGTGCCTTCCGTGGGAGTGGGTCTAGTCAAAGGAAGTGTTTCTGCTGTAGCTGGAGGTGTTACAGCTGTAGGATCTGCTGTTGCAAGTAAAGTGCCTTTAACAGGAAAGAAAAAGGACAAGTCTGACTAAAACCAAAACTGAGACATACTCAATTCTCCAGAATATTGCATCAGTGACATTAAAATCTGCTAAGATTGGGACCATGAGAAGCCATGTGTCTTAGACACTTTATCTTCTAACAAGTTGTGCAAGTAACTCAATTTCATCTGAAAAGGACAGAAGAAGCTTGGCTAGCACAGCATATGAGGATTTAATAGAGCCTAGATTGAAGCTTTGTATCTGGTGAAATGTTACACTTGATAACTATAGAAGTGAGTGTATCTGAAGGAATAATACATATTTGAATAGTCATTTACTGTACATCTTCTGCAGTTTTGGACTAAAATGTGAATGTAGAAACTCAGTAGTCTCTGTGATGCCATTGATACGAGATGACAATTATTGTTCTCAGTGGTTTCCACATCCTCCTGCTAAGTATCCTTCAGCTGTGTGAAAGCACTGTTGGACGTACCCAGTCTTGGTTATGAACCTGTACTTGCAAGCAGCCTGTAAACTATCCTGACTGCATTCTGCCAGTGAAGACAGGAGCAAAGAGCCTGGAGATGTGCAGAAATTGGAAATGAGAATGGGAGATAGAAGTGAAAAAGTTTAACAGTGTGGTAGAAAGGATCATAAAGAGTAAAATAACTTAATGCCTTATTAGAAGAAAATCTCTCTTTACTAGGTGAAGCTGTGTAAAGAACCGTCCTGTCGTTTCAGTGCAGTTTACAGAATGAGCTTTAGGCTCTTCATAAATCCTGATATCTGAAACTTTCTCAGTTTTTACTGAAAACATGATTGCTTCATCTCAGGTGTATTTAATAAAATGCATCTATCTCCTGCAAGTGAGAACTTGCTTCGAATAAACTTCTTATAGACACTAGAAAAAATGACAGCCTGTAGAAAATGGGCTGATGTTTGTGGTCATCTAGCACAGCTGTCTAACTTGCTAGGAATTCTTGTGTAGCTGGAAACCACTGAAGAACTAGCAAAGCCGTTCTCTCAACTCCGTGATACACCAGGTTAGCTTTTTGCTCTGTTTAAGCAAATGCAAGGAAATTTTCACTACATTTCTTGTACTTTTCACCTTGATTTTTGAGTGAAATGCAATACTTTTTATTTAAAACAAACCAAAAACATTAGATGAGGCCTTAAAAAAAAAAGGCAACTTGATTCAAGTGATTTGTGTACTGACAGATTCCAAATGTTAACACCTCAAATGGGAACACCTGTACTTCCTCTGCAGCGTGTGAGGCAAAATGCACTTGTAATGACACAGCTTGAGGTTGCCTTAAAATAGAAACCATTTGTGATTTTTTATTTGTGTACTGATTTTGAAAATAAGTAATCTCTTTTGAAGCCCATGGGAGGCATCTGTTCATGGTGTGTATGCAGTATTTTCTAAAAACTTTTGTTTCTATGGAGAACTTGTACGCTTATTTTTTCAGTGGCTGTGGTTGCACTAGGTCGTTATATGGGGGGGACTTTTTAAAAAATGAAAAAAACCGAAAACATATCACTTGTCAAACTTATTCCTCGTTCATGGGTGTTGGAAGTACATCTTGTCTCAATTATGGTACTGTAGTCATGCAATCTCTCTGAGCCGTTGGTACTTCAACTGCACTCTGTGACAACTTCATTTTATATCAGAAATGGTATATGTTGGAAGCATGATACTTGTAAGCGTGGAACTTGGGGCGGTGGGAGAGCAAAAACCCAAGAAATGACATCTGCTCCTTCTGTTAGATACACCAGCTGCTTGGTTCTGATCTGCTGCAAGGGGGTAATGAGGTAAGTTGATGCAACAAATGGAAGGCTTATTTTTTTTTCTTTATAGTCAATAGCAAATTGCATAGAATATAGCATTGTTTAGAGGTATCAGTTAGCTCTAGAAATGAGCTAGCCTGGATATCAGAGGCAATTTTGCTGCAGCATATAATTTAGTATGGTCTGCTCCCCTGCAATTTCCAATGTAGCAATATCCCCCAAGTGCTGCCACTGAACTCTTTAGGAGTCACCTGTTTGGAGCACAGTGATAATTTGTGAAACTCCACCAAACTCTTCCTATTAGTTTTGCTGTAAGTGGGAATGTTGAACTGATCATACCCATTTTTTTATTAAATTCTTTAATTTTAAACTACGAAACTTGCAGCAAAATAAGTGTGGTCTGAGATAAGCAATGTTAGGCATGTAAGGAGTTGCCAACACTCCATTATGTTTTCTTCTTAACATATCCTGTAGCTATTATTTTGAGTCTTGTAAACTTAAACTTTTACATGGCATATGGGTTTAGTTTTCAAAGAGCTTCGTCCTGTATCCTGTGTGTTTTCTATTCACTTATGAAACTTGCTTCATCTTAAAAACTTGTTCCGATTCTGTCCTGGCACCTGTGAAACATTAAATTGTTGCTGTTTCAGACATTTGAAAGCTTCCTTAGTTTTGTGGAGAAAGGCATACTTAGGTATAAATCTTCCCACAGTACCATGCTCCAGAGTGTCTTTGTGTCTACTTAGCACCAACCAGCTCTTAACAAAAGCTGTAACTTCAGCGTGTAAGGTATGCACAGACAGCACACAAAATCCTTTTCACTATTTTTCTTTTCCCCTGGTCAATGATGCTTGGGAATGTCCAGTTTTAAGATCATAGTAAGCTGAGTGGAATATGGAACTGAATTCTGGGGGAGTGAGGTTGTTCTTTTGTCTTGGGATTGTTTTTGTGGTAGCTTTATTTCACTTGGCTTTTCCCAGTCCCCGTTCCAAAAGGGGAAATGTTTCTGAAGGCAGCTTGTATGCCTGACTGCTCTCTAGGTAGTGAAAGGCTTACTCACAGGCTGGTCCACAGTCACTCTGAGTAACAAAAGATGAGGATTTCAGCAATACAGTGTTTTGGTGACTGGGAACTTTCCTGAGGTTTTATTGTAAATGAATCCTGTGAAGAATAGAGAAACAGGTCCCAGGATAGAGTCGGGAATGAAGGATTGACTGAATTGTCATCTGGTAGTAGAGAAGAGGAGCATTTCTGCAAATGCTTTTATTTTGAAAGGGTAAAAGAAATGGAAACATTCAGAATGCAAAATGAATTTGTGATAACTCAGGCTGTGACTTAGTTAAGGAAATACATCCTTTTCCTGTTCTGTTGCCACGGGAAATAATTTAAGTGATGGGAATAAGTTGTTTCAAGAACTTTGTAAAAACAGGTACCTGTAGAAATGCTAGAACTAAATATTAAGGGAAAACACTGCTGTATGTCTTGGTTTCCTTTTCCTCCTAAGCTACCAATCAGGTCTCTGGCTCAGTTACAGGTTGTGTTAGAAGAGCTTTGGAGAGCTGAAATGCCCCTTTGTGTCTGAGGGGAAGGAGGCTTTAAAATTCAGATAAAATTGTGGTCTGCTTAATGGCTGAGCAGGGAAAGACAGTCAGAGAGTGACAAAGGCAAGTTCCTGTGAATTTTTAATACAGCTGTCTTCCCAGTTTCCTCTTAAACAACGAATATTGAAAGAGTCAGCATAGACACAGCCTGGCACCACAGCCTGACTTTCTTCATGCTGTGATATGTCCCCTTCTTGAACTCCTGCCAGTGTCGCACGTGCTCCTGCAGGAGCGGCATTTACCCCCAGAAACGCCGGCCACGCCTGCATTTGCCTGCAGAGTGCTCCGTGTAAGACCTTCAGCTGTTGGCATCTTTGCACTGCTCCCACCAGGTGTTCCCAGCCCCTCCCCAGTGCACAGCAGATAATGTGGCAGACTATAAAAAAGCATCATCTTGCAGCCCACCCTCTGGACCAGTAATTCAATACCAGCTTTCTTCAGCAACTACAAACCACATTTTAAGAAACGGAGGCCTGGACTTGCTGCCAAAACGTGTGATAAAAATGACCTTGAAGAATGCCTGTTGTGAGGGTGGTGTGTAGCTGGCTTTCATTCTGCTGGTAAGAGGGAATGTGTGTGGAACAGCTACTTAGGAAAGTCTGTGAAAGAAAATCACGGATCCTAATCCTATTGAGATGATTGTCAGTGATGCTACTGTTTTATATTATCATTCACAGCCCATAAATGAGAAGAAATCAAATCCCCTGAGAACTTAAACGCTGTCTGATAGTTACTATTTTGAAAGCCAGCACTTGTCGCCAATTGTCATATGGTGTTATCTTAGAAGCAGTGTCACCCATATATTTAGAAACTGTTGCAGCTGTTTGCAAATCTGGTAGTCATGTTCAACCACCAGTAGTTTACAGACTAGAGTTTTGTTGCACCTAGTAGAAAAGCATGACTTTCTCTTTTCTCCTACCATCATTTGAGACTTGAGTCTCTCCCTAATCTTTCTTGTTGCCACCTTGCTAGAAGAGATTAAGAACTATACAATAGCAACAAATGTATTTCTTCCTCTCCCGAACTATTTGAAAAAATAAGTAAATTTTGAAGTCTCAGAAGTATAAAGGTTATCATCTTGTAGTTTCTTTGCATTATGGTTTGTACACAGATACTAGGGTTTCAATTAATAAAAAAATATTATGTCCAGCCCCTGTTGTCAGGACAGGGCTTAGCTGTCCAAGAAATCGAGTTTGTTGCAGGTCAGCATCCAGGAGCTAGAGCTACTTCAGCAATAAGGAAAAGAACTCCAAGGGTGTTTCCTGAAGACAGTGAACCAGCCAACTGATGACCAGTGCTGGAAAAATAATCCTCCTTTTGTCTTCCTCAGATAAAAATTGTGCTAATCACTACCACAGGCTGCACTGTGCAGTGACAGAACTGAAAATCTAAGGCAGTTAATGCCCTGTCAGGTAAGAAAATGTCACATCTGAGGTGCTCTGAGAAAAAGGCAACCTTTATCATAACTGTAACTTCTATGATGATATCTTAAAGTATTACAATACTATGATTGTATAATGAAGTTGTACCTAAGACCCCCTCCTGAACAAAGTACAGTGTAAGACTACACTTTTGCTAAGATTGCTTTTGCTCCATCTCTCCTCAAAGAATTAACTTCCCTTTTAATTTGCTGTTGCATTACTTGAAGTACAGCCTTCAAATTAATCTTCAATGTGTAGAGGAGCAACAGGATTAAAAATTGGTCTCTCCTTCTTTGATTGTATCTTACCATAAGTGACTTCAAAATCTTTTTTAGTACCATTCAAACTTTCTAGATTTCCACTCTTTATATCATACCCTAATGCAGAGAGCTTTTTAATTCGGTACTGAACGATTTGTGTTGTCAATTCCAGCACCATTGGCGTCTCTCTTATCTGTGCTACAGAAATTCCTTCCCTCAGTAGTCCTTCAAGTCTTTCTTCCAAAACTGGAACAGAATAGTAGAGAAGGGCTGGGCATTTCAGCACTAGTTGTTTCAGTTCTTGATCACTGCACT